CCCCCCAGCTCTCCCCTTCCCTCAGGTCTCCCTGAAGGCAGTCCCTTTGAACAGACATTGTAAATTGGGTGACCCAATTTTGTTTGACCTCCACATTGTTTTAGAAACATTTATCTGCCCCCTAATTTCACACAACAGATTTCCAATTTTACGGTGGTCGAGAGCACAGACTCTGGGACCAGACTGTCTGGTTTCAAATCTTGGTGCTATGTGAACTTGGGCAGGTTAAGTCTCTGTGCCTCTGTTTCTGCATCTACCATGCGGAGATGGTGATAACAGCACCTACCATATCGATTTGAGGTGAAGAGTTAAAGCACTCACAGCAAAGTAAGCACTGTGTGTTTGTTAAATTAGTATCCACATAGTGACCACGCCTAGTGATTTCCAGATTTCCACAGACCCCACCACTCCCATTGCCCTGTGGAAACTGAATTTGAGTCCCTTGCCTTGGAAAATGTGATGAAAGTTAGGGACCCTCCCTCCAAGCAAGTTCATATATCAAAATTTTCATCCAACTTTTGTGTGGACACACAAACCCCTGCCCACTCTGCTGAAGTCCTGTGCTGCACAGTAGGTGCTCAGTAAATACGCTTAAATTAATGAAATGGCCATGTGTCTGCCCCTCTAGTCAGCCTGCGGGTCCCTCAGGGCAGGGTCTGTGTTTTGAGAGTGCCTGCCCTAAGTGATGGAGATCAGAGCACAATGAGGAGGGGGTGCAATTGGGCCCTTCCCCAAGGAGCAGAGAGCCGAGACACACAGGCAGGGAGTGTGAAGATCATAAACCACATCTCTCTCTTACTGCAGGGCCCTCCTCAGTAGCAAGACCCGTCCTAGGCTAGGACCCCAAATCCTCCATAGCTCCCTCNTTCCCAAATTAATTGTCCTAGGCTAGGACCCCAAATCCTCCATAGCTCCCTCTGTCTGCAGAACGGAGTCCCAAATCCCCAGCCCAGGGTTTAAGCCCCTTGTCAATCTGGTTCCAACCTCTCCTTCCCCAGTTTTCTCTTCTGAGTCTCCCATTTAGAAACCCAAGTTAAGGTGACCTTAGCCCCAGATTTCTGAGAGGATCTCATTTCCTATAATACTAATTTTTAAATAAAGCCAAGAAGTGAAATGTATGGTTTAAAGTGATTTAATTTTTATTTTGCCACACCTTTCTTGTAAATTCACTACTTAAGGGGGGAAAAAATCCTTTGTCATCCTGTGTGTTCTAATTTTTGTCTCAAATGACTAGGCATCTGCTAAGTCTGAGTTCTATAGCCATTTATTCATTTCTTCCTTCATTCTGGCTTCCGCGCCTTTGCCCATGCTGCTCCCCTGCCTGTAGTCCCTTACAACCCAATCACACATCTCTAAGTCCCACCCATCTCCCTGCCTCATTTCAATTACCAGCTCTTCTCAAAGGCCCCTGGCACCTCCCTCTTGCACCCGAGCACCTAGCCCAGGGTCCAGCATACAACAAGCGGTTAACAAAGAAGGAAATAAGGAAAGCTGCTTTTCCGCTCCCCAGGACAATGCTATGGTGATCTGTCCATGGATCTGTCCCCTCTCCCAGATGTGACATCCTCTAGAGCACAGCCTGCATCTGTCCCACCCCAGTGTCAACTTCCCTGCTCACCCTATGGTGTATAGCACAGCACCTCGTTCGCAGTAGGTGCATAATCGCCGTATGACTAATTGTGGAAGGGAAAGAGAGCAGCAGTTGCCCACCCTCCCAGTTTCTGCCCTTCCTTCTTTCTATTCAGGAAAGAAGTAACTCCATTGTCAAGATAAAATAGGTCAGATTCCCTCCCTCCCTCTGCCCTGTGGTCTGGTCAGACACACTCTCCTGCCCAGGCCTCTCTGGGCCTCTCTCGGTATTCTAGAAGTGTCAGAGACAAGGTCAGGCTGCCTTGTGCCCTGGCCCCACCCCATCTTCATCTCTGCTCTGGGTCCTGCCACACTGGGAATCAGCTGGAACACAGAGGCCTCCATGCTGGTGGCTCCTCCCTCCAAAAGAACAGACAGGGAAAGAGGGGTAATCTTTACTAAAGTAGTAAACATTTATTAAAGTTAAATCTTAGGTTTTTAATATGATAGTGACTCAGAAATCAGAGAAAGCCATAGAGGTGTGGCCGGACAGTATCCCAGAAGACAAGCCCAGCACTTTCTTTAGTCACTGGACCAAAGCCGACCCAGTCCCTGACTTGCCCTCCTTCTAGCTTCTACACCATAAGCATGAGTCCTGGGGCAAAGGGGTGCTTAACCTCACATTCATGATGGCATGGACAGGCTTAGGAGATCCTGGGGTAAAGGGGTGTTCACAGCTTCTCTATGGCATATGTGACTCCAAGGAAATATAGGAACCACTGCAGGGTTGCCAGATTTAACAAATAAAAATATTGCATGGCACATAGTTATATTTAAAAACTATTCATTGTTTAGCTGAAATTCACATTTAACTGGATGTCCTGGGTTTTATCTGGTAACCCTAAACCAGTGAGTCAGACCTGTGAAAATGTAACATATCTTGTGTGCTACAGCCCTTTATTCATTTCTTCCTTCCTTCATTCCTTCAGCCACCCTCCACACTGAAGGAGACCTTCCAGGAGCACAGTCTAATGCCTGGTACAGCAAGGAAAACAAATGCCCCATGGACACCATATTGAAAGCAGAGAGACTTGATCCCAGACTCTGCCTCGCAACCCCAGTTGCACCCAGCTCTCAGGGGTGCCAGTCTGGAAGCAGCACCCCAGCACAGGGCCCCACTGGCATGCAGCTAGTGCTAGGGGGTCATGGGTGAGTGCTGAAGGGGCTCTCGCCCACCCACGCACCTTGATGAAGAGCCCCAGATCCTGGTCGCTCACACATGGGTGGGCCCTCAGGAACTGCTCTCGGACTGCCCCCAGCTGCCTCTGGGCCTGCTGCTCATGGGGCTGCTCCAGGGCCTGGAACACCAGGGCACCGGACACCAAGTAGAGCAGGACCAGCGCCAGCAGTGCCAGTAGTGTGGTGCTGCGCATGGCGTGCCCAGGGGCCCGACCAATTCCACCGCCCGCTTGGGGAGGCTGGGCAGGAGGCTCCTGGAGGGCTGCGGTCACTGCGGGGAGAACCAGGAACGCTTGGATCAATAACCTGGCCTGACACCCCTATACCCTCTTCCAAGCCCTACACACCCAGGGGTCCTTGGAGCCTCCAGCCCTACTGCCCACAGGTGACCTCTCCTCACATCCCTCTGGCTGGACACTTGGTACCAGAACACACCCAGTCATTCCCCCACTTCGGTCCTCCCCCCACTTCGGTCCTCCCCCTTACCTCCACTGCCCGGCCCTCAGCCCCTGTCCGGGGACTCCGGGGTGTGAGAAGAGAAGAGGGCACCGGGAAGGGAAAGGAGGGAGAGTGGAAGAGAGAGAGACTGAGCCTGCTGAAGAAGAGGCAGGGAGAACAGGGAAAAGCCGGGGGCAGCCCGCGAGTGGGGAACCCGCCTCCCAGGAGGGGGCTGAGCGGCGAGGAGGCGCTAGAAGGAAAAAAGGAACAGCGGGAGGAAAGGCCGGACGCACAGGGCGGGGACGGGGACAGCTGGTCCCGGTGCATCCGCCGCTGCCGCAGCATCTTCGTGACTTCTCCCTCTCCTCCCGCCTCTGCCGGCAATGCTTCTAGCCCCGATGGACTGGGTGGGGAGCCTCCCGGGTCCCCCAGAGCCCGCCGGGCTTTCTAGGAACCCAGGGATGGGTCCCATCCCTGCGCAGATGCGGGGGAGGGGGAGAGGGAAGGGAGGATGCCGGGTGCCGGGAAGGAGCAGGGCCAGGGCCGGGGCATCACACGGGACCATGCAGCATCCCCCAGGGCAGCTGTCGGCCCCCAGGACAGTGGGAGGCGGCGCCCACGCGCGCACAAGCAGCACAAAGCCCCACGCGCCCACGCTCCGCCCTGCAGCTCCAGCCACCCGGCTGCTCAGGCTGCACGCACACGCTCCGCCTGCACTCTCCCCAGGCTCACGGGCACACCTGGACCCAGGGGCTGCAGCACCCAGAGGGCCACTCATACGTGTGCCCACACCCGCGTATGCACACTCAGACCACGGGGCAACGGCGCAGTGCCCGCCGCCGACACACCGCACGCCCCCCTGCTGCTCCCACTGCCTCCCGCGTCTTCACGCCGACGCCTCGGAGCATGACGGGCGGCTGGACGCGTGGCCGGCCTCACGATTCCCGGAGGCGTCCACGCGTGGAAGGGAGGTGGAACCCCACCCAGACGGTCGGTAGTCCCTCGGTGCCCTGCCCGGGAGTACGGCCCGCACTCCCTCCCGTGCCCCTCCACCCCGCACTCACTGTTGGCCCCTCTGCTGCTGAGACCCCGGCTCCGGCGCGGCCTCGCCGGTGCCCACTGGGCCGTAGAGGCGGTGGCGGCAGAGACAGGCGGAGCAGGCGGCCGCTGGGGCTGGGACCCCCCCTCCCGCTGTCTGAAGCCCCCCTCCTACCGCGTTTAACCCCTCCAGTGCCGCGCCTCCCTCCCAGCCGCACCCTGGCCACCAGCGCCGCACCCCCAGCCCCTAACCTGTGGGCGCCCTGTGCCCTAATTCCGGCTGGTCCTTGGAGATGAGAGCCAAAGGAGAGCGGTAAGGGTTGCCACTGGGTCTGGCCTGGAGTGTCAGACCAGAGCCCTGGAACTGCCCCACCAGCTAGCCAGTGTGGCCAGCAGCGTAGCCCGGGTCTGGACAGCATCCCACTTACCTCTCTGGACAGGCGCCACACTAATCTCCCAGGCTCACCATAGGGTAGGAAGGGCCCTCAACTCCCCACCCCTGGGACAGCCTGGCCTTTGGGCTCAACACTTATGAGGGAGGGGATCCTGCCAGACAAAGGGCGGGGGAGACACTCAGGCCAGCTGCCGTTGGCCCTGGTGCGGTGGGGCCCAGTTCTGGAAACCCATGCTAGGGCATCTCCTGTCCCTGCTACTGTATGCCCATCCCTTGGTCTCACCCCATGTCTACCCCAGCATGGAACTGGTGCCAGCACCCCTCCCCCACTGCTTGAACTGCCAGGGCCCCTGCAGGTCCTGGAAATCAGCTCCTCTAGGCTCTTACCCACTTTACAACTCCTATCTCTCCAAAGACCCTGCTCTTGCCTGGGGTCCTCAGCGCTCAGGGTGGGGTGGTTGAAGCCTGGGCTCTAAGGCTGACCACCCTCTACCAGTAGGGGGCCTAGACGCCTTACCAAACTCTGGAGCCTGCAGGTACCCATTTAGAGAACAGGGATGTTAATTCTTACCTTAGGGTGCTATTAGGAGCATTAAAGAGGTATTTGTAAATCTGGCACACACAATAAAGTGCCCTACAAATGTCAGCAACTTTCTGTTCAACAAAGTGATTGTGCACTCTCCAGCAGCCTAAGGCCTGGTGTCCAGGACAGTCCCAAGTGAAGGGTTTCAAGACAGGCTTAGTGCTAGGCCCCAGGGACTCCGAGGAGCTGAACAGTCAGGTCTGTGTGCAGGAGACAGACCCTCGGATAGACAACTCCCACCCATAGGACAAATTTGCCAGGGCTATGGCAGCAGAGGGCAGTGACTATGCTATTAGGGGTGGCCAGAGAAGAGGGCCCCAGGACCACCAGGCAGACTGTGTGGGGGCAGCTCATCCTACCAGTCAAATCCACATCTGGTAGGAAAATGGGGGCTGCTCAGTTAAGGGGCAACTCTTCCTCCACAGGCCCTGGACTAACCCCAGGAACTGAAGGCCTGGTTGGATGTGATGAAAGGAAAGTAGGGTCTCCAGAAATCCCAATCTGCTAGGGGATGAGAGGCATAATAGCCACATAATTACAGTGCCACAGGACCCGGGGGGGAGGGGGGGACACTGTTCCCTGACATAGAGAGGGGAGGCTTCTAAAAATAAGTGACATTTGAAGCAGGTAGGGTGGAAATTATTCAAGTAGAGAGGGGACTGGAGTAAGGGCAGAGCTCTTCTGGTCTCCCTTCCCCTCACACTGCAGGCTCCTCCCTCTCCCTGCCCTCCAGCCTGGGGGAGGTAAGTGGCCCCTGCCAATCCAGCAGCCCCCTTCAAGGGCCAGTGTTTGATCAACCTCAGCCAGCCAGACAGTTCAAGGAGCACATATAACTTACAGACAGTGGACGGCCACAGGGCACAGACACTGTTTATTGAGTGGCAGACACAGGAGAGGTAGCTGGCTCCAGCATAGAAGCGGAGGCGGCAGGTCATGCCAGGGTGCTGTGCGCATCTGGCAGGCAGGGCCATGCCCCCCATCCTAGGGGACGGCACAAACTCACTACAATAGAAGTAGCAAGGAGCCGGCCAGGGGAGGAGGTGGCCATAGCCCCTGGGATCCTGGGCAAGAAGCAGCAGATGAACCTGGCACAGGGGCCTGGGGTGGGAGGGATTGGGGTCTGAGTGTTCTGGGGAGAGTTGGAGAGGGATCACGTCTGTGGAGTGGAGTAGAGACTGTGGTGGTGGCTGCCTGGGCCCAACACCTGGGAGAAGAGCAGAGGAGTGGTCCGCGTCTGGCTGCCCCCGTACCAGCCTGGCTCTCGCCCAATGGCACCATACCAGCTGCTGGAGCCTAGGCTGCCTGACATGCTGCAGACAGAGAAACAGGGTCAGTTCCAAGGCAGTGACCAGGGCCATATTCACAAGAGTTGGGGGGGAGAGAGGCTTAGAACAGAGCCTGTAACCCAGACATTCCAGGACCCAGGGCTTGAGCACTGCAAACTGTAGAAAACCATCCTCAGGGCAAGAGGGGGAAACCAGAGGGGCCCCCACCTAGTACAGATGGAAACAAAGGCCATGGCAGGGACTAGGGCTGAATGACAAGACCTGGCTCTACATCCCCATGGCTCCATGGAGCAAGCCAGGAGCTTAGAGGTCCTGAGGTGGGGCTGAGGCTCCTACCTGGTGCTCTCTCCCCGGCCATGCTCCCAAGAGCAGCTCTCATCCTCGCAGTGCCCCGCCCGGTCAAAGAAGTAGGAACGGGAGCCAAAGACCTGCCCATTGAGGATGCGGCTGGTGCTCTGGAGGAGGAAGCTGCCATTGATGCTCTCTCCTGCCCCCTACTGGCCTCCTACAACCACCCCAGGCCCCAGAGCACGGTGTCCCGGGGCCACCCTTCTTATATTGGCCCTCACCAGGTCCTGTGGAGGCCGGTGCACCCGGAAGAAGCCCACCAGCAGGGTAGTGGGCAGCAGCTCCCACACAAAGAGGATAAGGCCAAACACCAGGTAGCCTTTGTTCCCCAGGTCATTCACCAGATCCGCCTGTGGGAAAGCAGGTGCTTATGCCAAGCTGCAATTGTGCCAGTGGGGCACCTGGACAGGGCCCAGGAACCATGGCGACTAAGGAGGCAGCAGACATGCCGAATGCCCACCTGGTCAGAGACGTTGTACCAATCATAATCAAAGGCATCCAGTCGACTCCGGGGAGCCAAGGCCAGGGCGGCCAGGTTGTAGCAGGCCCGACTGGCATAGAGCAGGACCATGGCACCACCCATCACAGCTGCCTGGCACACACTAGTTCCCTGGCACAGATAACAAGGGACCCTCAGAGAGGGGAGACTCTAGCTTCCTCTCTATCCTGAAGAACAATGCCCAAGGACCCCAAAGGACACCAGGCATGAGGGTTGTGACCCTACCTTGGCCTCCAGGTAGATGCTGGTGGAGGGAGCCCTCCGGGCAACAAGGCAGAGGCAGGCAGCAAGAGAGAGTGCGCAGATAACAAACAGGGAGTCGCTCACCAGGACACGCACCAGCAGGAGGGCCCAGGGCTGTGCCGGGCGCCGGTGTGACAGCACAGCACACAGCACATTCACCAGCAGAAAGAGCAGCGAGGCCCCCACGAAGGCCCCTCGGACAGCTAGCCTGCAGCCCACAGCATAGTCAGCCCCAGACTACACCCTTGGTGCTCACCCACCACCCAACCTCCCCCAGGAGATCACAGTGTCAATCAGAACCTTGCTCCTCCAGCTTTACAGATGGGGAAACTGAGGCCCAAGGTGGTCAGAAGGTGACTGACAGCTGTGGTATAGTGGAAGGAGCAATGGATTGGGTGTCAGAAATCTGGGCTTAAGTCCTGGGTCTGCCTCTAGCCACATCTATGACCTTGAATATGTTGCTTTACCTTTCTGGGCCTCAGTTTCTTCATCTCTCAAATGGAGATAATAATAGCCTCACATATAAGTTATAAAAATAAAAGATGTTTGTGAAAGCTCTTAATAAACTGTAAGATGTTGTACAAATGACAGGAGTATCACCACCCAAGGTCACCCAGGAGTGGTTTGGTTTTGGAGCTTCCAAGGGCTGGAGGCTCCAGCTCTTCCTGTCATGGACCACACTGGTACCCTCTCCCCTGGCTGCTTCTATTATTGTTGCCCTTCACACATGCAACACCTCTGCTAAGCCATCTGTGCCAGGTGCTTCACTTTCCCAAGTTCTTTCACAAACATTCCCTGAGTTGTCCTCACCTTAGCCCTGCCAATGGGGGGGTAGACACCAGGCTACTCCTGGCCTGGGGGCTGGGCCCACCAGTGTCCTGTGTACTTACAAGCCTCGGCTCATCTCTGGCCGACGCTTCGCCTTGGCCTTGAACACCACCTGGGAGCAGAGATGCCCATTGTTCCTTTGGGCCCTTGAGGCTTGCCACCCCACAGAGCATCCCACCCAGTTACCTCGGTTACCTGGGCAAAGTAGAGGTTCATAAGCGTCAGTGTGAAGAACTGCAGGCAGACAGGGCAGCAGTAGAGAAGCCAAAAGGGCAGGGGCCCCAGGCGGTTGGCTCGGGGGGTATCTCGGAAGTAGAAGGAGAAGAGGGTGGTACGCAAGGCGGCCCACAGCAGACAGAGAGCCAGGAACACGGTCTGATAGCTGAGACGCTTGTGCCCATACAGAAGCACCAGCCAGAGCTGGGCATAGACGGAGAAGAAGAGCAGGGCGTACAGAGTGGTGTAGGCCGCAGTCAGCCCCAGGGTCACTCCTGGTGGCAGCGCAGGCACCAGACCAGCAGCAGGCACCAGGCCAGACAGGTTACTCTCCATGTCAGGGAGCGAGGCCTGAATCCTGAGACAGAGATGGAGGAGCTGGCAGGGGGCCAGGGAAAAAAATAAATAAATATGGAGGGGTGGGAGTTGAAGCGTGCAGAGACAGAGATGGGGAGTTCAGGAGGAAAGAAGTTGTGGCTGGCCAGGCCCTTCCCTGAAGCAGAGGAACAGTCGCCCTTGCAGCAGCCCTTGCAGAGGGGCACTGGCAGCCTGGGGCCAGGGCCTGGGCCCTTCACTCAGGAGCGTGGAAAGACAGACTCTTCTCTCCAGGGCTGAGGGTTGGGGGGTGGGGTGGAGAGTGTCGCCTCCCTGGGCCAGTCCCAGAGCCAGCAGCCTGGGGGTGCAGAGGCTGAAGGAGAAAGGTCCTTGGCCTTGGTCGCTCCAGTCGTCCCGGCAGGAGGGGGAGAGCCGGCCGATGCCTGTTGGCTCCGGGCAGCGGCCGCAGCGTGGGGCGCTCAACACCCGGCTCTCCCCCTCCTCAAACTGCGGGCTCTCTCCCCTCAATAATCCGTGTGGGGTGGGCGTGGGGGCTCTGCCTTCAGTCCTCAGGATTCCGGACGCTGCCCCCAACCCACTCCCCACTACGTCCACCCTCCAACCGCCCGAGGCGGGGAGGAGGTCGACGCCAGGTCCTCAGTCCGCCTCTGGAGGAGCCGGCTCCGGTCGCTGGGACCCGGGGGTCCGGCTCCTCGGCTCCTGCGGCTCCGCCCCCTCCTGCGCCTGCGCCTGCGCCTGCGCGGGCGCCGCTCGCTACGCAAACTGCGCGGGGTCTAACCCCGGCTCCGCAACCTCGCGCCGCGCCCAGCGCGTAGTCGTTCGAGAATGGGTGAGAGCTACGCCGCTGGCGGGTGCCAGGGGTTACGAGAGGCGGCGGGCGGCCGAGGTGCTGGGGCGACACCGCTTTCGGCCGGCCCCCTGGTGGACGATGCCCGGGGCCACCGGTCCTTGCTTGTTTACGGGGCCGCCAGTCCCCACGCTTCTCTTAACCCCATCCCCAAACCGAGAATGCGCCGCCAAGCCGAGGGCGGCAGCCACTTTCCCTCGCCCAGTCTCTGAAGAAAACTTCCGCCCACAGCCAAGATGGCCTCCGGGCCCCGCCCCCGGCCCTGAGCCCCGGCTCCGCAGCCCCCAGGCCTGCCTGCGCTCCGCCCTAGACGGCCGCGGTGCCTGCTCACCTGGCCCACCGCCTGGCAGGCGCAAAGTCCCCGCGAGCCCAATGGCCACCCTCACAGGAGCCCTTATCCCTTCTCCTGCGCCGGGACAGTCATCCTGCCAGGGAGGAGGCCCCTCGCTTATCTCGAATGCTCCCCAGGTGGCACGGGGAGTGGTGCCCATGATGCGTGCGGTGCGGCTTCCACAGTGTGGGAAGAGGGACCCAGTGGCCCGGTCCACGGAGCCGACAGCAACAGTGCATCTTACGGCTGAACTCCAGTTATGGCTTTGCTAAGTGCTTTCGCCCACAGCAATCACCCCTCGGTTTACAAAATTCACTGGTCCCTGAGGCAGGTGTCATTATCCCCATTTTACAGGGTGTTAACTAAGGCCCAGAGGGGCTGAAGGACTTGTCAACAGAAGCTAGCCCCCAGGTTCCAAATTCTTTGGGGACCCCAAAGAATCCCACACTAGCCCCCCCTCAGGTACGAGGAAGTCGGGAGGAGAGCGTCGGGAGACCAGGAAGGGGAGGAAGGCGGTGGGCGGGGAGCAGGTCGCGCCGGCAGTGGCTCCACCTCCTGGACAGCCCTGGTGACATTTCGATAGCTGATTGGGTAGGGTCGGTGACAGTTCCCGTTGCCCAGGGAACTAGAGCCGGGCTCCCTCGGTGCTAGAGGGAGGCGCAGGCCCGAGTCAGGGGCCTCGAGATCGGGCTTGGGGTGAGTCTTGCGTGCGGTCTTCAGGGGCGCGTCCAGCCGGGGCCTGGGTAGGGGTCGGGGCTCCACAGCATCAGGGCCCCGGAAGGAGTTTTAGGTCCTGGGTGGACAGGCTGAGCTCCTTGCCCAGCCAGACTCAGAGGACAGACAGACGGGGGCCTGGGAAGCAGGGCGGACCTGGGGTTCTAAGATGGGAAAGGGAACCAGGGGCACCTGCTCCCCCACCTCCGTCAGCCACCGTTTTCCCCAGCTGTGCTCTACCTACCATCTTGCCCCTACAGCCCAGAGCATGTTCCAGATCTCAGAGTTTGAGCAGAGTGAGCAGGAAGACTCCAGCCCTGCAGATAGGGGCCTGGGCCCCAGCCCCACAGGGGACCAGCACCCAGGCCCCAGCAAGCACTGGAGTACGGTCCCAGGCCTCCTGGGGGAAGCTGGTCACCAGCAAGGCCAGCCGGCCAGCAGCAGCCACCATGGAGGTAGGGCCTCTCCCTCACCTGCCTGTCTAGCTCCCTGCACCTCAGCCTCACCCGGTGGCTTTGAGTAAGCCCGCAGCCTCTCTGTGCCTCAGCTTTCCTCTTCTGTTAAACGGAGCAATTAATCACCACCATTGTAGAGCTGTTAGAATGATTAGCAGATATATAGGAAGCACTTAATTATAGTGCTGGTGCTTAGGAAATGCTCAGAGAATGTAGCTTGTTAGTGCAGTACCACAACAAATCACAGAGTAAGTCAGTGAACCAGGAAAGGGAAGTGACTTGCCTAGGGTCATACTTGTTTGCTGGTTCCTTTGGGTAAAGCAGGGCTTAAGCCTCCAGGGCGCCTGCGCCAGGCTTCCAGCCCCCAGGTCTGTTCTTTCCCACCCTGTGGCTCACCCACACCAGGACTATCCTCACCAGTTGCCAGGGGCAAGTGACTCTAAGAGGCATACAGCACTCCAAGGCAGCTGGTCTGTGTGGGGTGGGGAAGCATAGGCTGGATGGAAGGATGGGCACTGGAGGGCAGTGGCCATGTCTCAGTCTCTACCTCCCAGCGCCTGGCACAGGCCTTGGCACCTCAAAAAAAACACAGAGATCTTCTGAAAACAAAAACCATGTTCCCCTAGCCCTGGCCAGTGTGGCTCAGATGGTTGGAGCACTGTCCAGTGCACCAAAAGGTGCACACACACCTCCCTCCCAAGTGTGGGAGGCAACCAATGTTTCTCTCTCACACTGATGTTTTTCATTCTCTCCTTCCCTTCTTCTAAAAAATGAATATAAAGTTTTTTTAAAAAACACAAAAACATGTCCCTTGCTTGTTGAAGCCCAAATGACCCTCTCCCCATTTTCAGGATCAAGGCTTATTAAGGCGGCCTCCTCTGCCCATTCACACACACTGTCAAACTGAACGCTACACTTTCTTTAACTTCCAGATCTTTGCACTTGCTGTATTTCTGCTCACAACAGCTTTCCACTCCCACGTGGCTGTTCCTCTTCTATATCAGGTGTTTAATCTGTGCCCCATGCTGTCCCAGCTGCCAGGGACACATCAGTGAACAGAAGAGATAAAAGTCCCTGCCCTTGTGGCACCTATATTCTAGTCAGGAGGGGAGACAAGCCATAAACAAACAAGTAAATGATATATTAAACTAGAAGATGACACCCGCTGGGCAGCAGTGTGAAAAAGTCTTTCCTTTCTCTGGATCAGGAGTACTGGGGGCCAGGGTCTGTCTTGGTGAGAAGCGCCATTTCAGCAAAGACTAGAAGGGATGAGGCATGAGCCAGGCAGCTATCTGTAGATAGATCCTGAAGGGATGGGCGAATGCAAAGGCCCTGAGGCCAGTATGACCTGAGGGGATAGAAGTCAAAGAGGCAGGAGCTAAAGGAGGGGGAGGGGCAGCTGGGCAGGACCTCAAAGGCAATGCAAGGGCTTTGGCTTTTCCTTTGAGCGGGAACATGGGAGGGCTTTGAGTAGAGCCAAGTGATCTGATTTGGGTATCAAGAGGATCACCAGGGCTTGTGTAGGTGGTGGTGGTGAGCCTGTGGGCGGCTTGGGAGGAGTTACTGATGGTGACCAGGTCTAGGTTCTGCCCATGGGAATAAGAGTGAGGGGAGGAGTGGAGGAGGTCAAGGAAAGGAAAGGCTAGGAGGTGGCAAGGACCACTACTGTTCTATGAATGAAGACAGGAGTGGCAAAGGAGAGAGTGGCAGGGAGCTGGAGTAACCTCCTGAACAAAGTAGGGGTGTGACCTGGGACTGGGGGATGCCTGAGTCATGCAGGGGAGGGTTGGCACATCCTGAGAAAGTAGATTTAGGGAGGAGGGCATGAGACTGGTCTGAAGCAGCAATTAGGAGCTAAGAGGATGCCAGACCCCGCCATGAGAAGGGCTGCAAGAAGAAAATAGAAACCACTAGAGAGGACTACACAGGATTTCTAAAATTTTGACTTTTTTTTTTAATGTCTAAAAAGCAAGTGATTTTTCCGTAAAAGATCCCCAAGTACCAAGTGACCTGCCAGAGCCACTGCTCTCCTCTAGATGGGCAGGGTCCCTTCACTCTTCATATTCCCTGCCTCCTGGCCCCTGCTGGACTGTAAGTGTCCCCAGGGCAGGGACTGCACAGACCTTGTGTGCGGACTGCTTAGTGCCTGGGAGGGGCTAATGCGTGGTGAGCTGTGGGTGTGTAGATGGTAGAGAGGGAAGGAAGGACACCCAGTGGGAGAAAAAGCTCAGCACTAGGCACCAGGGCCAGACTGCAGGGTTGAAACACAGCTTTATCCTTTATTAGCAGGTTGAGCTTGAACAGGTTAACTCACTCTGCCTCAGTTTCCTTATCTGTTAAATGGGAATAGAACCAGTCCCACCTCATAGGGTTGTAGTGAGGATCTGATAAGTTAATACAGAGAAAGTGCTTTGAAACAGTGCCTGGCACAGAGGAGTATATACTGTTCTTACTATTACTGCGATCGTTATTATTATTACTATGAGTTGGCCCATGCTCTGAGCAGACCTGGGGGTTGCCATTCATTCAGCAGAGAGGAAGACATCAAAAACCAGTACCCCTCTGATGACGGACAAGTGAAGTATAGGTTAGAGCCAGAAGATAAGGGCTTAAAAGCCATGCTAAGGAGTTTGGACTTTATCTTATGAGCAATAGGGAGCCATTGACGGTTTCAGGCAGAGGACAGATATAGTTGGGTTTTGAACAGGGGTTGGCAGACCATAGCCACAAGTTAAAACCCTCTTTTTGTACAGACCATGAGCTAAGAATGGTTTTTATATTTTTAAGTAGTTGACAATAACATTTCATAATGTGAAAATGATATGAAATTCCAGTTTCTGTGTCCCTAAATAAAATATTAGTGGAAACAGTAATGCACAGTCATTTACATAGTGTTTATTGCTCTTTCAAGCTATGACCACAAAGCTGAGTAGTTGTGACAGAGACTGGGTGGTCTGCAGTGCCCTGAATATTTACTCTCTGACCCTTACAGAAAACATTTGCCGGCCCCTGCTTTCTGAGCAAGATGAGGGTAATGTTCTTTGTAGGCTGGTAAGGGGCTTTGGTCCCCAAATGGCTTTAGGGTACACAGGGAGTCTGGGCCAAGGTATGCAGGTTCTAGAAGCTATGTGAGCTGCGGGCTACTCTGCCTGCTGCTCTGTCTGCTGGGGGCAGGCAGTAGAACATCGGCTTGTGCAAGAGCAGGATCCAAACTGCCCTGCCTGACGGCAAAGCTTCACTGCCTCGCACTGCCTGCACGCCACATTTTAATTCAAGTCTGCAAGGATGTGCACAGAAGCCTGACCAGGGATGTGTTCAGTCCCATCCACTTACCCAGAAGCCCAACGGGGGTAAAGAACTTAAAGCTTTGCTGGAATGCTGGGTATCTCCAGCCACAGACCCCTCCTACTACCCTACTCCAGTCCCAGGCTTACTCTGAGAGGCTGGTATAAGTGGCAGGCCTTGGCACCCACCCAGAGGCCACGCCCCTTCCTCTCCCTCACCTTCCGGGATGGGGAGGGGCCACCTCTGTTCTGCCCTGCCCTGGGGCGTGTAGGGATGAGAGCTGATTGAGGGTGGGGTGGTTCAGATGGCATGTTCCCTCCCCACAGGCTCACAAAAATCTTCCAGGTTTTTTCCAGTAAATAGAAGGGCACTTTTAAAATTCCGGTTGACACAAATGTGTGTCATTTTGACAATGGCTGGTTTGACACTGCTAGATCCATTGCTTTGGTGAAAATCCACCCCACAGGCTAGGCTCCAAGTAGAGCTGACACCCAGCTCACTGGGGAGGTGGGAGGCTTCAGGATGCGAAAGCAGAAATGTGTTTAGGTGGGACCCACCTAGCTACTGCTCCTGCCTCACTGCCCACATCCCACAGAGCTGGAAAGCAAAAAGCCCAGGGCGCATTCCCCAACTTGGGCCTCCAAGGGGGAGCCTGAGACGTGAGAAGTAAGGATGCAGGCCCTGAAGCCAGACTCATTAGGTTTGGATTTCTGCTCTGCTACCTACTGGCTGAGTGACCTTGGGCAAGTTACTCACCCTCTCTGAGCCTTAGTTTTCGATGTGCCTTTATTTTTTTCTGCTGTCTAATGGGGACAGTGAGTAACTTCCCTGATAGGGTGATAAGGACCTGATGAATAAAGCCCAGGAAGCACTTCCAAGTGACACACCAAGTGTTCTGTTTGTGATTCCTGGAAGAGGAGGCAGTGCCCAGACTAAGTGCCCGTCTGCAAATCACTCACCTTCCTTCTCTCAGGCCTTGCATCTGTCAAGTGTGGTAGCTGTTTGGGTTCTTACAGCTAGTAAAAGAGAATGACAGCAGACACTTTCTGAGCATTTAAGTGGCCAACTGTGTGACTTCAGAGTGCCTCTGGGTGCCTTAACTTTCTCATCTGTGAAACAGGGAGAACTTGGCACCCACCTCACTGGGGAGGTGGGAGGCTTCAGGATGTGAAAGCAGAAATGTGTTTAGGTGGGACTCACCTAGCTACTGCTCCTGCCTCACTGCCCACATCCCACAGAGCTGGAAAGTGAGCTACAGATGGTCCTGATCCTATCAGGGGTCTTTCTATTCCTTTCTCCTCTGGTCCCCATCCCCTAACCCCCACTCCTGATTTAGCTGCCTATTCCCCATTGCCACCTCCATCCTCAAAGGCTTTCTGGTGTCCCTGTCTGACCTCGGGCCTGGGCTTTGGTGAAGCTCAAAACAGCCAGACACTCTGACCAGACCCTCTTGGCCTAAGCCTTTCTGGATCCAGCCCTCTGTCACCTTCTTGGCTTTCTCAGTCATGTGTTTGGAGCTGGGACCCTTGGAGGCCCTGCAGTTTGTGGAGGGCTCTGGGCCCACAGGGCTCTGGCCAAAGGTCTGCTGGAAGGAGAACAAGACACTGTTGTCCACTGGCTTCAAAACCTGGCCTACATCTTGCCTCCTTCAAAATGGCTTCCCTGACAGACAAGCCCTACCCATGGACGCTGAGCACATTCTTGGCATCTGTTCTAGGCCCGTCTTCCACTTTATTACTTAGGTCTGGGTTTTTGCTCCTGGGAGTGGTTCTAGGTCTTTGTTGGTCTGGATATGGGGGTGAGGTTGGCAGGAGTCGGGGGATGGCACACAGTACACAAGTCAGACAAACTCTGAACTCAGTAGAATAATGATCCATTGAATAATCACCCATCATGCACTTGCAGCTCACAAAGCACTTTCAGGCTATATTATGTGACCTTTACACAGTCACTGGCTTATCCCCACATGAAGGTGAAGACATAGGTTCAGAGAGCTGAAGGGTGGTTGGACAAGGACAGAGGTGAAGCTCAAGGGATAATCATTGGACTTTGGATTCCAACAAACCTCTAGGCATTTCCAGCCTCAGAGCTTCACAGCTGTGTGACCCTGGGCGAGTATTAACCTCTGTAAGCCTCTGTCTTCTCATCTGTAGAATACAGGCAATGTTAGTACTCACTTCCCAGAATGGTTTGAAGGGTAATGAAGGTAATGCCCAGGGCCTAGCACATAGTAAGTGCTCCATAAATATTACCTAAAAAGTCAACAGGCTGGTCAGGACGTTTTCTCCAAAGCAGGTGCTGTGGGAGATACGAACATGCTGCTGATGCTTCTGGTTCTCAGGGTCTCCTCTCAGTCACAGCAGTGAAACAAATGAGCACCAGCAGGTCGCCTGCAGAGCTGGAGTTCAGCCCTGCTTGGCTGGGGCAGAACACCTCCTCATCCAGGGCCTGGTCTCCACTGCTGGAGGATGGAGATGATTAAAGAGCTAACAACCCATGGGCTTGCTGCGAGGCCCCCATGGCCTTGCACTAATAACTGTAACTATTTATTATGCCCTTATTTTGTGCCAGGCACAAAGGAAGTCGCTTTTATACACTAAAGCCCTAGCCCATTATTGGGGCTCAATTAAGATTTGTGGGATTAATGAGAAGTTAATTCAAATCTTCACAGAAGCCCCAGGAGCTTCCCTCGAAATACATGAGGGAACTGGAGCTCTGAAAGGTATAACCTGATGTGCACACTAGTACATCAGCGGGCCGGTGGAGCTAA